TTCTTTTTAAGTTCCATAACTTGGCCGTGACAAGGGTAGGAAGGACTCTATAGCTCTTCAGAGCAACCAATCTAGAAGAAGGAAACTCATACACAGCGGAAGTCATACACTTATGACCATAACTCGAACAATCGGTTACAAATGGGAGGGGGGAGTTCCAAATGTGAAATCACGAAAAGGTCTTATTTCGCCCTAACTTTTCTATTTTTGCTTATCTTCCAATGTTTACCAACGAATTTTCATGAAGCTTGGCATACAAAAGCCGAGCTGCATGCTGTGCCGGAACATGGATTTATTTTTGATGTTTATATGACCACACCATATCTTTTTGTTTTTAAACGTTTAACATTATCTCGATCATGTGTTTACCGCCAATAGGTAATTTAAATGTAAGTTAATTGCATAACAACATACATTCTGAGTTTTTCTTGTTGAGACGTTGAATTTGATACCAAACACGACCATATTTTACCTATTTTTAAAGATGACCTTGACACTGACCTTGACCTTTAATAATCTTTAAATGCTAATTACGTGATAACTATTGTGTTAATTTTAAAAATAAAAGTATTTTTGTGTTTCATTTGACTGTCTCTTTCATTCTGAACAAATAATGACATCTTTGTCATTAATGACAATAATGACATCTTTTAACGGTTAAAATTAAGCATGTTCCCCAAGGGCGATTTTGGTTGAATTTTTTTTTGGGGTAGCACTTAACGGCTCAAAGTTCAAGTTGGCGTAACAATTTGGTTGTTATTTTTCATGTCCGGGTTCGATGTCAATTTTTACTGGCCTAAAAGACGAAGAGATGTAATCTAAGATCTGCCGCAAGTGGCGTTCTCCAACAACCCGAAGCGTAAAAGGAACAGATCTCAAAGATTAGCATAGATGTTTGTTCAGCTACTCTGTCTATTCAGTGGTATAATTTATGGGCACATGTCAGTGTTTGTGTTAAGACAAGCTGCAAGCCACTTAATAAAGACTGCCAGCCAGTCACAGCACTGAAACTGAAAAGAAGATGAGAG